CATCTACCCATCTTTACCCAATATATTTATAGGTATAAAAATACATATACAGTTTAAATCAAGTAAAACATGTATAAATCGTTCATCTAGCATAGATATCAGGAACACAGATAATAAACACGCATAGCATGTATTAATATTAAATACTTCATATCTATGTGTAAGATGAAAGTAACTATGCACTCACTTGTTAAAGTGATGACTCGAAATTTGGGCAGCGTTTCGCTTCCAACAATTGTCTTTTCCGTCGACGAAACCTAGTATTATGATTACTAAGTTTTAGTCTAACGTTTATTGCGACTAATTATTAGTCTCGATTTATCATTAACTCAAAGTCTACTTTCATAATCTATCAAGTAAGGAACAACCAAGTAGGATCATATTGGAGGTAGGGTCCATTTGGTATACGAAGTATACTGTTTGGAAATCCTACTTTAAACACCTCACTAAATCACAGCCTAAACATCATCCCCGTAAGTAGATCAATCAGTATAACGAATTTGAATCATTGATAAATCTTGTTTATAGGTTCATAATAACGATAATGAACTTAAACATAAGTTATACTTAAATAAGGATAAGCATAACTCACTTACAAGGAGGTTTAGCGAGGAGTCGGGTCCTGCGCGGGTAGAACTTCTGAGCTGAAATCTCTTCTTCTCGAGGCCTTCTGGCACCCTGGGACTCACTACTAACACCTAGGAGGTGCTAGGGAAAGGAAAAGAGGGTTTGGGCGTGTTTGAGAGAGAAGTGGATGAGAAGGTGGGAGGAAATGAGGGAAAAACGCAGTCTATTTATAGGCTGGGAAATCTGCATACACAGGGCGTACATAATGGGTACGCTGGGCGTAATCATTCCAGGTGTCACGATCGCATGCAAATCCGTGGAGAAGAAGGTGTGGCTGAGATTATGCCACGTGTCACTCCGAGGTTTTGATCTGAAACTAATTATCTTCTAAAATCTGTAACTTTCGCATACGAGCTCCGTTTTTGACGTTCTTTATATCCACGCGTAGGTAGTGACGTGATCTACAACTTTCGTTTAGACTTCGTCGGCTAATTTTGAATTTATTTTTAAAGTTATATTTTAACAGACTTAGGCAGTTAAAGTCCATTAAAAATTCATAATTTTGTCATCCGACGTCCGTTTTCGACTATCTTTATATCATTGAGATCATATTTACGAGATCTTCAATTATCATTTAGGTTGAATCGGCTAAAAATTGATCGATCTAAAATTTGATTTCCGAGTTGTGTACTACTGCGCTAAATCTTAGAAATATCATAACTTTCTCAAACGAAGTCAGATTTGGACGTTCTCTATATGCACGCTCTCTGTTTAACGTATACTACAAATTTCATTTAGATCTCTAAGGCTAAAAAGTAGTTTATCAAAAATTTACTTTTTACGATATACAAAACCGTGTCGGTTTAATCGCGAAACTTCGACGGGTCATAACTTCTTTTTTATAGGTTGGATTTCAGCGTTCTTTATATGTGCGGAATCCTTGTGACATATACTATAACTTTGGTTAAGATTATTTATGCTAAATAATATTCTATCAAAAAGTCATTTTTAACGCTTATTATCTATAAATTGACTAGCCCGAATCTGCAGGCGTTACAGTTAGGATATAGTTACCCTGTAGTATGCACTTAGGCAATTAAACTTGGATAGTTAGTTTCTTGTTATGTGGATTGTTTTTATATATGTGTATGTTATTATATATTGAGTTGAGGGCAGACCAGCCTCGTGCTGAAGGCTAATAGACTCGAGCAGAGTAGCCTCGTGTTAAAGGTCAAGATGCGGACCAATTATATGTTGTAGGAAAAATGGGTGGACCAGCTGAAGGCCGAGAGGTGGTCCAACTATATGTTGAAGGCCATTGTGTGTATGCATTTTATATGTGTTGTGGTGTTGAATATTTTGAGGCAATTTACTAAGCCTCGACTTACAGTTGTTGAATAAATGTTTTACAGGTTGTTCATCTGATCATGGAAAGGCTCACGCATGACTGTATCGGCATCAAAGCATCAATAAATTTTTATAGACTTCCGCTAAGATACTCTTTTATATAATAATATATTGTAATGTTTTGTAAGACTTATTTTTTAATAAATAAAAATGAAAATTTTCCTTTGAAATTTGAGACGTTTCAACTTGGGGGTGTTTTGGGTATTTTGAGCTATAGATTGAGATTAGGTCACTGTTTGTTGTATAGGTGACCTGTAGAGTTGGCGCTTGGAGCAGCGTTCATTTCTGCTATCTTTCAAACTGTAAGGTGATTTTTCCTCACTATGCTTGTGGGTTGAAGGCACTAATGTCATCCTAGTAGATTATGCATCCTACTATGTTGTAGTGGTCTGTTGAGATCTGTATGCTTATCTGTATGTTGTTATATATTTTATCTATTGCATATGTCGACATAGTATGGTTTGGGTTGAGGCTACACTATTTTGTGTTGTCGGCCAACGAACCCGGTGGCATTCCAATCAGGAGATTGTGGGCCAGAGTGGCAATCCAATCATGAGATTGTGGGCCAGTGGCAATCCAGTCGGGAGATTGTGGGCCAGAGTGGCAATCCAACTGGGAGGTTGTAGGCCAGGGTAATCCAGTCTGGAGACTGTGGACCCAACATACATTATATATATTGTTTGGTTGTGTGTAGTACGTTGGAGTGAGCTCACTAAGCTTTGGCTTATAGTTTGATTTTTTATGTTTCAGGTACTCCAGAAGACAGGGGCAAGGAAAAGGTTTGATCGTGCACATCCTTTATATTTTTTGAGATTGATTTTGGGATACTCTGATTTGTGATTTTGACAATTTGGAAACTATGTTTTGTAAACATTTATGGTTTTTGGTTCGTTTTGAAAAATAAAAATTTTTATGTTAATTTTTGGGATGTTACACTTGACAAGAACCATACTTAGTCCTTGGTCAAGCACCCACCAGGGAAGAATGCACTACAGAACAAACGGGTGTTTCATGTTAAGTATGAGATTGATGGCACCAAAAAATACAAGGCAAGGTTGGTGGTCAAAGGGTTTCAACAAAAGAGAGGAGTTGATTACAATGAGATCTTCTATCCAGTTGTAAAGATGACTACAATCAGAATTGTCTTAGGTATTATATCCTCTGAAGATCTCCATCTAGAGTAGCTAGATGTGAAGACAACTTTTCTCCATGGTGACCTAAAAGAAGACATCTATATGGCACAACTAGAGGGTTTCTTATAGCTGGCAAGGAAAATTTGGTGTGTAAACTGAAGAAAAGTCTATATGGATTGAAGCAAGTTCCAAGACAGTGGTACTTGAAGTTTGATAGCTTCATGCAAATGAGTGGGTACAGCAGATGTGAAATGGATCACTGTTGTTACTTAAATAAATTCAAATCCTCACACCATCTTGTAATTGTGTGTCGATTACATGTTGATCGTTGGGCCCGACATGTAGGAGATCAACAAGCTTAAGAAGTAGTTGTCCAGAGAGTTCGATATGAAGGCCTTAGGGGTTGCTAAGCAGATATTGGGCATGAGCATAGCTAGGAACATAGTTACCGATACACTAAAACTTTCACAAGAAAAGTACATCAAGAAAGTTTTAGAAAGGTTCAGCATGGCAAATGCTAAAGCCAGAAGTACACCTTTGGGAAGTCAGTTAAGAATCTCGAAGAAACAATCCCCAAAGACGGAAGAAGACAAGGAACATATGGATAAAGTTCCCTACGCATCTGCGGTTGGTAGCTTAATGTATGCCATGGTATGCACCAGACCATACATTGCTCATGTAGTGGGAGTTGTGAGTTGATTCATGTCAAATCCAGGAAAAAGAGAATTGGGAGGGAATAAAGTGGTTGTTACACTACTTGAAAGGAACACTTGAGGTTTCCCTATGTTTCAGAAGAAAAGGGTGGTCTTAGAAGGGTTCGTCGATGCAGATTTGGGTGGATGTGTGGATTTGAGAAAAGCACAACAAGTTATGTGTTCACAATCGGAGGTACGACAATCAGTTGGATGTCTAGGTTACAAAAGAGTTTTGTTTTATCGACCACCGAAGCAAATTATATGGCTATTGCAGAAGCAGCCAAAGAGCTTATATGGTTGAAGAACTTTCTATCTAAACTTGGAATGCAACAGGTTGATTGTGTATTGCATTGTGACAACCAGAGTGCAGTTTATCTGTCAAAGAATCCGGTGTTTCATAGTGGAACGAAACACATTCAAATGAGGTATCATTTCATTCGAGAGTTAATTAATAATGGAACTTTGAATTTGAAGAAAATCCTTGGAACGAAGAATCCAGCAGATATGTTCACCAAGGTGGTTACCACTGAGAAGTTGAAGCTTTATATAGCTTCAACTGGCCTTTCAAAAGTTTGAGATAAAGGCATGGCAGAGAACGAGAGAGAGTGTGATAAGGAATGTTGCAATAGTCAGATGGCAGAGAAAGACTAAGTTGTCCAAGCCTTCAAGTAGAAGATTGTTAGGTGTGAAAGCTTTGATTAAGGTTGGTGAACTTTTAGTAAAAAGTTCTTAGGTAAAGAAAATAGAGTGAGCTATGGGTAGGGCTGTTCATTGTTCGGATAAACTGAATTATCCAATTGGACAATTCGGATTGGACTATTTGGTTTGGATTTTTTGGATTTTTGGATTGGTTTGGACTAAAACCGAATTAATATTTTGGATTTTGGATTGGATTTGGTTATTAATATTGAAACCGAATTACCCGAAAAAACCAAATAAAAATTACTTATATATTTATTTATATTATTTGATTTTAGTATAAATCCAATAAGATATTGCAAATTCTTAGCTAACGTAGGTAACAAATAAAAGTTATATATTTATTTTAATTTAATATAAACCCAAAACAATTAAATGGCCCAAAAAAACTCAATTGCATTATCTTAGTTAATAGGAATGGGCCAATGGCAGAATACATCAAACGTAGGTGGCAATTGGAATACTCCAAAATGATAAATTGAATCGCCGGCTCCTTTTGATGGTCAATATCGAATCGTCAAAATTGAATCTTCAAAATCCTCGATCATCGCACAACATGCCTCCTTCACATGATCTCATCTTCTATGCATCAGTATCCTCGATCAAAATTGAATCGTCTCATCCTCGATTGTCATCTTCTTCAACGGCTTGTCGAAATAAACAACCCTACTTACAAGTTCTGAAATTATCGGCCACTTCCCATCCACCACCAGCTTCGATTCACAACATCTTCAGAATTACACTTCAAGTTTTACCTTGTTATCCAGGTTATACCTCGTTGGCATTGTCAATTTTAACTTCCTGTAATTTGTTATTCATGTGAAAAATTACATTCTTACATAATCTAGTTGTTAGATCTTAATTTCGTTTTATAATTTTTAATGGTGTAGATTAACGAGAATGGACCAAAATGAAACAAGATCATCCCAAGATGCAACAGTTCGTAATGACACCCCATTGAAGGATAATGGAAAAAGAAAGCGAATGAAGAAAAGATCTCCGGTGTGGGCTGATTTTGTCCAGTATACTGATAAAGACGGCTCCACACGAGCAAGATGTAAGTGTTGCATCAGAATCAACTTTTAGCACCGGAGGGAGAGTTCTTGATTCATATAGGACTTCGTTGAGCCCTAAAGTGGTCCAGGCACTCATATGTGCTCAAGATTGGATCCGAAAATCACACAGTTTCTTAAAAGTTGAAGATGAGTTACGTGAAAATGAAGAACTTGATGAAGGTATGTATTTATACAGTTTTCATTATAAGAGTTCTTTTTGTAAAATGTAATCTATATCTTAACCATTATTTTATTTTTATTTTCAGAGTTGACTAAATTGACATGCGATCTAAGCATTCTTGATTTGTGAAGATGGAGATGACTGAGTTGATGAAGTTTTACTGCTGGATTTTGCATCAGTATTTGCTAATGTTGCTTTTTTGAAACGTTATTTGCCAATGTGCAACTTTTTTGTAATCACTAAAACTATTGGTCTTTTGTAACTTGTTTGGTATTTTGTAACTTGGATTATTATTGAATTGTATTTTGCTTGGTTATAAAAACCGATCTTTATTAAGCAATTTTTGCATCTACATTTATTGGAATGTTATTTGACTTAAAGAAATTTGAAAACCGAATAGTAAAAAATCGATCCAACCGAGTTGTAATTTGGTCGGTTCGGATCGGATTGTATTTTTGTTTGGACTATTCGGATCAACATTTTGAAAACCGAATTCAATTTGGATTCACTACATTGGATCGGATTAAAATGATCCATTCAAACGAACACCCCTAGCTATGCGTAGCAATGAGACTTTTACCTTATGTGTGAATGTATGAAAAGGACGACAATGCATGTAGTAGAACATAAGTCCAAATTTTTAGCAAAATGTAGAGTTCACATTCATATATATATATATATATATATCTATATATATATATATATATATATATATATATATATATATATAATATTATATATATATATATGTGTGTGTGTGTTTGTGTGTGTGTGGAAAGTAGAATCCATTACAACAGCAATGTGATTCCCCTGTTTTTTTTTCATTCCATTCCTTCCTCTGTTGGTAAAGATCTATATCTATTGGTCATAAGCCAACTATGTACACATATGATAATAATAACAATAATAATATTAAGATAAGCATAATAATATTTTTATTATATAGAAATAAAAAAAGATAATTACAGTTTATTACCATGATTTCTTTTTCACCCAACCATTTGGGAATGGAGCATTAATAGACGAAAGATAGAATCCATCAGGCTTGACTAACCAGAAACACGATTTACTACCATTTTTCCTAACGCGACAACGGCCCATAATTTCAGCATCCATGAGAGCTAAAGTTTGAAATCGTGGCCCCCACGAAAAATTACCAGTAAAACGTGAACCGATAAATTTTTCACAAAATGTCCAATTATAAACCATATTAAATGGAATAATATGATTTCCAAGATCATGATCTGTTGACTTGATATGAACTGTAATTGTATCCGAGACTCCATTAGTAATATAAGTCGTCCATTTGGTAAAAAAGCAACCAGATGTAATAGTAATCAAGTAACAAATTGAAGTAAAAAGGATAAAGAAGATGAGACAACTATTTCTCCTAGTATTCATGATTTAACATTCACAATCTGGTTTCAACATCGTTTTGCATTTGGATCTTATATAGAGGTTGAGATATGATTAATGCATAGCAACTAAATTTATACACAAACAAACAAAAATAGTTACATACTTACATGCTTACACTAATATATATAAATGCCATTGAGTACGATCGTCAACATCAGTTACTTTGACATGTAACTTTATTAAATGTAACCAAAATTTCAAAAAAAAAGTTAATAATATACTAATATATTTATATTTTTAATTATGGGATATTACTTATTTTATTAAACAAACTATTCAAATTGTTTTCAAGTAGCCAACAAATCCAATTTATTGTGTAAAAGGTAAGAAACTTAAGATTTATGTGTTTTAAATTGGTATTACAAGTTTTACCATGTTATTTACAAAATTTTTTTTTTTTTTTTTTTGCCTAAGTTTTAAACCTTTTTACAAGACAAAAATTACATAAGTGGTCCTTGTGGTTGGCAGAAAATACAACCGTATGTCATTTTGAAGAATTTTTAACATGGATGATCCTTGAAAGTTTAAAACATTGCACGGATAATCCTTATGACTAAGGGGTCGTTTGATAGTTGCTAACTGGGTTAGAGCTAACTGGGTTAGAGCTAACTGGGTTAGAAGCTGACTGGGTTAGAAGTTCTGACCGAGTTAACTTCTGACTGAAACTTGCTGTTTGATTTTGTGTCTGACTGTCTGTGCAAAATGACTATATTACCCTCAAACAACATTTATTATAATAAGTCCTTTATAATTTACCATTTAATCGATAACACTACATTTTTTATTAAAACATTTAAAATGATAAAAATAATATAATTTACAAAATGATGTAATTTACAACCATTCTTCAAAAAGATGCATATAAACATATAACACAGATACAAAATGATGTAATTGACTTCTCTTTTCCACCCTTGAACCTTAACCCTCCAATACAACCACCATTCAGCTCCAAGGCTCTCCATAGACAGCAACCTTTGCATGATCTGGCTGTGTTAATGGATTATTCAGCTCCAAGCTCTTGCTCCCTGTTTTGATTTTCAGAAAATCTCTTAATAAATCTGAAAAATACATCCAATAGCAATTGAGTCTGCACATCAAAATCCGGCATATTGTATATTCATGTTAGTTTTTCCTCTTTAGATGAAGTTGCATAATATGAATACAAAGGAAAGTTGAAAGATCTTGTAGAACAGATTGCAATATGTTGTTTTGCATAATTGAACTCTAACCAAAACAATTCTTTCATCAACAGTAATTAATAAGAATAATTACCTCATATGTACCTTATTGATGAATCTCGTCTCAATATGCTGTTTTACCAATATTCCCAAGTGTTTGTCCACTACCTGTGAAAAATTTACAATCTTTAATCTAACAAGCTATTTACCGATGAAATTAATGTCGTTGTAAATAGTATGGTCTTGTAACAAGCTATTTACCGATGAAAGAAAATGCAAACTTTCAGTTCATGATGATCAATTGCGTCAACAAGAAAATACATCTCAATCTTCATTAATCATCAATTTCGTAGGCTCAATCATCAATTTCGTCATCTAATCATTCATCCAGCCGATTGAAAAAATGAACAAGAATCAAATTAGATGAAGAATATAAGATTGAAGATGAATGCATACATGGAATCGAGGGTTGAAGAAGAAATCTCTCACCTGCAAAAATTAAAGGAAAAATTAATTAACATCAGAGGGAGATTAGGAGTTCATGGCTCTGTGATTGAAATCAAGGGTTGAAGAAAAAAGCCCTTATATGAGGAAGACGACGGCACAGCGGAGGAAGACGTTGACGGAGGTGGAGGGAGGAGACGTCGAAGGAAGGAGGCTACAGGCTAGGAAGGGCCGATGGAGGAAGCAGAGTGACGGAGCTTGAAGTGATGATTTGGGGGCGTAAATAGAATACGTATAAAAATTGAAGAACAGGGGGGCCAAAGTAAAATTTTATAGTTTTGGACATAATATGTAACTTTTTCAATACTTATGGACTATATATAAAATAAATAAATTAGGGGGGCCACAGCCCCCCCTGGCCCTATATATGCTCCGTCCATGAAGGGAGCGTTTATGATGTCGTTCACGATAGGGACGTTCAAGGGCAAAGTGGAGAGATTTTCAGTCAGACTCTTTTTCACTCATGACCGAATCAGAGAAATTTCTACGACCGAATCAGAGATTTGGACTGGGTTTTATCAAACGGGCTGACTGGACCGAGTCAGCTAAAAATGCTGACTAGTCAGGTACATATCAAACGGGCCCTAAGACCGATAAAAATAACTTATAACTGTTAAGTTTGTGTAAAATAACTAATATCCCATTTTCCATTTTCGATTATTGATATCCGATAAACACAATTTCTTTATAGATTTGATATTTCATCAAAGAAAGTTTAACATTTGCCACCATTGATATGAAGAGATCTCCATAGTTTTTCTTCACGAAAAACAAAACCCCAAACACATCGAAACTTTTGGCTTCAGATTCGACAGTTTCAGAAGATAATTAGTACTTTTGTCACATATAACCAACATATGTTACTGTATTTAGATAAACGTATCGGTTTATGTAATAAAAAAATAAGTCACATATAACAGATATATTTCCTAAACATCTATCATTTGGTCCAAAAACTATAAATAAATATCTACCTACCTAGTCGATAATAACACATGTAAAAGATTAATCACCTATGCATTTACATCTGAATACCATAGTAGATATTATGCATATCTGAACACCATGTATGACTTATCATCCGGTTAATGAATAATAAGGACAGTTTCTCAAAGTTTTTTTATTCAATACTAAATATAACCGAACTCACAAACAAAGTCACCAAATACACAACCAACCATATTTCCATAGTTTACACACCAATGGTAAGCACCTTCTTCTTTCTAAACAAAAGCTTCCTCAATATCTCAGTTCCTTTACCCCTCTTCTTACTAGGTACAATCGCCAAAGCACCAGGTACAACTCGTGTCTTGCAACTTCCAACACGAACAACCGGTCCCGCTTTTCTCTCTGTCACACTCACCATCTCTTTCGTCTTCGGAGAGCTCACCGGATCCTCCTCACCACCGCCTTCTGCCGCCTCCATATGGTCACGTAAACATGAATGCCGCCTTGACTTCTGACCACCGGTCAACTCTGCCGCCACCGGTGGCGGTGGCGGTGCTAGTGCTTTTAACTGGCGGCCGATGCTAAATATTGTTTCTTGACACTCTGCTAGTTTTGCAGAAGCAGCCGTTATCTCCAAACCCTGTAAAAAAATGACTTAAAATGTTGTATTATTTTTACAAAATAAATAGACATAAAATATTTAAAAATTATGTTATTGAAGTGTAATATGAATTTATACATACAAAAGAAACCGATTAATAAGTTTCTTACAGTTTGGAGTGGCTTCGCCTCTTGCTTGACTTCTACATTTTCCGCATCATTATCGGACAAACTGCGTAATTTAAATATTAAATAAATAAAAAGTGAAAAAGCGGATAAAGGGTAAAATAGTAATTTTTACCTTGCTAGCTGTAGTTGTAATTCGAGACATGTTGCTTCTAATTCTTCACAACAATGACATCTATCTTCCAATTCCACTTTAAGAGACGATATCTTCTGATTTGCTTCGTTTATTTCATATCTAGCAACCGAAATTTGATGGTCAAGATCCTCGTTGACCAACTTTTGATTCTCCAATTGCTCCTCAATCATTGCTTTGGACTCTTTCACGCTTTCCAATTCCGTTTCCACCTCCGGAATCCCTCTTTCCGGTTCCGGAGATTTCCACGTAATGTAACCGCTAACAGAATCCTCACATTGTAAAGATTTTCTAATCTCATTCAATACTTGATCGAAACTTCTTTCCGAAACACGGGTTTGTTCCGTAATCGCGTTTACAATGCTTGTTAACCAATCACCCGATGCCACGTGGACTAGATTACTTGCGTCACAAGAAACGATTTCTTTCCCTACGGAATCAAGATTACTTGTGTCCGAAGTAACGATAGCTAATTTCTCCATCTCGACAAAATCATCCATCAAACTCATATCCATGTCTCCAATCATCGAGCGTTGACTTTGACTCATTTGATTACTTTGACTTTGCAAATTGGAAATCTCGTCGTCTTTTTTTCTTATTATTTCTTTTAAAATCTTGTTTTCTTCTTCCACTTCGTATAACCGATTTATCAAAAACCCCATTCGTTTATCCAAACCTTCAAGACCCGACCCGGTGATCTGCTTTTTCACCAACAATCGAAGCTTCTGACATTCCGATTCCAACTTCGCTGCCCGTTTCATGCTTTCTCTCTGCTGCCCGGACGCCACGTCAGCACACCGGGTTTGTACCTCGAGCTCTCTTTCTAAAACCCGATATTCATATTTCAAAATCCCATTTTCTTTTTCGATTGAATCAAGGCGTGTGATTAGGTCGTTGAATTCGATTGTGGCTTGTGACATTTGATGGCTTATGTCTTCGATTAATTCATCTTTGATCATGAGCGTGTTGGAAAGTCGAGCGTTTTGGACCGTTAGATCTGCGAGATCTTTGTTTGACTCGTTGACTTTGTCTTCTAATCTTTTATTTGCCCTTTTGAGCTCTTCCATGGATTCATTTGCCATTTTTTGATCTTGCTCTTCTTTTAAAGAAGTTAGTTGTTGGCGATAATCTTTTAATGCAGAATTTAAGTGGACTAATCTCTCGTTAGCCTCTAATTTTTGCTTAATTGTGGATTCCAGTTCTTGATTTTGTAGAGCCAATTCTTCAACAGCCTTCTCCCGCTCTATATAAACACAAATCAAAAACAGTACAAAAGACGAAAATACCCCTTCTCCTAAAAAGTTTGTCAAATTCAGTTCAGTTCGGTCCAGTGTAATAAAAGTTGCAGCTTTTTTGTCTCACCAAAAAAGATGGAAAAGGTAGGGTAGGGATTCAATCAGGATCTTTTGTAAGGGCAAAAGACAAAAACACCCCTACTCCTAAAAAGTTTGTCATACTCAGTTCGGTTCAGTGTAATAAAAGTTGCAGCTTTTTTGTCTCACCTAAAAAGATGGAAAAGGTAGGGTAGGGACTCAATCCAGATCTTTTGTAAGGGCAAAAGACGAAAATACCCATTCTCCTAAAAAGTTTGTCAAACTCAATTCAGTTCGGTTCAGTGTAATAAAAGTTGCAGCTTTTTTGTTTAACCAAAAAAGATGGAAAAGGTAGGGTAGGGACTCAATCCGGATTTTTTGTAAGGGCAAAAGACGAAAATACCCCTTCTCCTAAAAAGTTTGTCAAAATCAGTTCAGTTCGGTCCAGTTCAGTCAAGTGTAATAAAAGTTGCAGCTTTTTTGTCTCACCAAAAAAGATGGAAAAGGTAGGGTAGGGATTCAATCCGGATCTTTTGTAAGGGCAAAAGACGAAAATACCCCTTCTCCAAAAAGGTTTATCGGGTCCAATTCAGTTCAGTTCAGTGTAACAAACACCGGTTAAGATCTTTGAAATATTTAGAATAAGAGAGGTAATGATAACCTGTAATGGCTTCTTGTGCAGTTTTTGCATGTTCGGATATGAGGGCATCTTTGGAATTGCACTCACATAAGAGAGAAGCTATCTTTTCATGGAGGTTTTTCACAGTCCTCTCTAAAGCTGCTTCTTTATCATACTGAATCCTCTGTGTTATGTAAAACACAAACAAGAAAATTAAAAAAAGAAAACAACAATATTTTTGGTGGGAATTATTGATTTTGACCAGTTAACTTCTTGTCATTTTTGGTAAGGAAGAACTACTGAACTAGTAAATAATTACATTAAAATTTAAGTAAAAATTAATGGAATATTATTATATAATACCTCTTCTTCATTTCCTTTTATAGAGATTCCAGCTTCACCATCGACGGATTTATGGACAGATCTTTTTCTCCAAGACCATGTTTTTTGGTCCATGATTTACTGATCTTGATGATAATAACACCACAAATTTCCAACTAAATACAAGGAGAAAAGAAAAAAAGGGAAATAAAGTACGAAATTTTAAAAAAAGAATTCTTAATTAATAAAAAGGTTGCACCTTTATAAAGGGAAAAATGTTGCAACTCGTTAAAACCGGATATTAAGTTTTAACTCAAAGTTTTTATACAAATAGAAAAAGAAAAGTACATAAAGAAATGTTAGGTTGCTTTAGCTTAGGCTATCACTTTGGATCCAAATAGAAGAAGAAAGATATATAAAGAAAAAGAACTCATATTCCAAGAATTTCTCCATTTAAGTGTCCCTACTGCATGAAGATATATTAATATAAGCACTAAAAATAACAGATTTGTCTGCATCGAATGACTTGATGTAACCTCTTCATCTTCATTTTTAGTGTATTTAATTATATAAAGATTATTCTCTGTTCCTCATTGATGTCTGGTTTATAGAAACTTTGTGTTAAAAGAACCCAAAGCTTTCCACAATGCTCACTCAAAGCATCCATGAAAGGAAGAAGAAAACAAGAATGAATCACAATGTTTCAGCCATTTCTGAACAAGTTGGGAAGATCTTGATGATCATATAAACCCAAGATGAATGTAGTAAAACGAAACAAAAAAATAGAAATAGAAGTAGAAATCAACAAATGTAGACAGATTAATTAAAAGCTTACCTGTATGAACCCAAATGAGATAAGATTGAGCGTGTCTTCACCTTCAAACAACCATATACAGCTACGATATAAGTTAAAATTTGGTAGAGGACTTTCAACAAACACTTAGAGTGCAGCAGAGAATTGATACGATTTTTTGAAGAACTTCTGGTAGAAATGAGACAAACCCACCGACAGATGAATTGTTTTGATAAGGGTGAAGAAAGTGGTGGAAGAATTGAGTGGGAAAAAAAGAGTGTGGCCATGGCGAAAGGAGAGAAAAAGGAAAAGGCTCGACAAATAAAAGTCATCTCTTAGTACAGTGTCTCAGGTACAGAGTCCCTGCGAGCGAACCCAAGCGGTGCCCGGTTGTGTAGCCAAATTATTTGTATGTTTTCGTGTTATTAAATTATTACTTATTAGCAAAGTGAAATACAGATATATTTATATCATAAGTGTTGTACATCTAACTATTTAATATCTTAAATATATTAAATAACTCTAAATCATTATTGGTTTATCCTAATATTAGAAACTAAGGAGCATGAAATGAAAAGAAGACGAAATTCGTGAAAATGAGCGTTGTTATATTTGAATACTGACATGTGACATAATATTAACTATGTCATCTCTAACGTCATGTTGATGTCGGTGCTAACATTGGAGCCAACTATCGGCTACCACTTTCATTATGTTGTCAAACAGTATCTTCTTCCCGATGATATCTAGTTGATCATTTTCACAGTCTCAGTCACCATTCATATCGCATTCATTGTCATGTTATACCCCCCCCCCCAACGTTGTCGATCTCATTCTCCTTATACCACTACTAAACCTCTTTTCGATATCATTTACTTCCCACCATCGAACTCAATCTTCTCATTCTTATCTTCCCATAGTCGATTTTTAGGGATTTTGTTTCTAGATCTTTATTTGTTTTAGTTTTTTGTTCTAGATTCATCTATTCGGTTTGATAAAAAATGATGGTAGTAGTGGTATATGTTGGTGGTAGTGGTGATTGTATATGGCAAGTGGTATGATCAATGGATCCCAATTATTTTCTTATTATTATTTTTTTATTTGATAATAAAAATAGTTCTAAAAATAAGAAAAGACCAATTAAAAAAAAGACAAAAATGTGGACATTTTAGTGGTTTTTATGTACTTAAAGCAAAGACATTAACGGTAACTTGGAAATGAGTGGTGTCAAATTTTGGAAATTAAACTAAATCGGTACAAAACTTAATAATATGGAGACCAATACTGTAATTTACTTTAGTATTTTATGGGACCATTCATTTGATTTTTAAATGTGTTATTCATTTTAATTTTATGAACCAAAATTGGTAAAAATGAAAAGAAAAAAGAGAAAGTGTTGGAGTGAAACAAAAAGGAGGGGACAGTAGGTGCAGCTACGTGTCAGTTAGTTATCATCATGGAGCGTCACTCAGCTAAGTGTACGAGTATTTTAGGCCCTCGATACAAATACAAAAAGATTTAACAAAAGTATATAATTTTGTATAACTTAATTATTTATAAATATAATTATATTTTATGATTAGTACTTTAATAATGACAAAAAGTTATAACATAGATCAAAAGATAGATTTTAGTTAGTACTTAGTATATCGTTTAAACTTTTAAAAAGATAAAATTTTAATTTAAGTAAGTATTTAAAATATATATCTATTTTATAGTAAATTAATATAATAAACGAATTCATATATAAGTAATAAAATAATAACTTTAATGAACATCGACTATTATGAGACCAATAATAAAGATATGGTCTTACAAAAACATTTTCATATGTTATACAATAATCATATATATTTGTAAAAATAGTAAGTCTCGGCATTGTGCTTATCTTTTGAAGCCTTTAAAGACTTATTATAAAACATAACATACTTTGTCTTTTCTCAACCTGTTCTTATTTCTTGCGGAGACCCACATTATGCTTTTTAAAGTATATATGATAATAATCTTGCCAGTTTTGTTTTCATATAATTGTGTGTTACAAATGTTCGAATTTAATGATTTGTTTTATTAAAAGAATAATAATAATAAGTATCATTATTTTTCTTTTTTGAGTAAATTTCACTACTTAAACCTTTTATGAGGCATCGCTACTTTATGTCCATGTAGACGATATAAATCATGAGCTTTTGTAAGCTGAAATGGTCAAAAAGTGAAAAGGAATGAAATTGAAATGAGAAAGGTGGAACCAACAAAATCATGACCTCTAACGTTTATATCTACTTTTATTAAACAAAGGGATCTCAAGGCCATGTATCTAGTTAGAACTAAATTATACTGGATTCGAAAAATGGAAGATGTTGGAAGCGAAAATCGAATCGATCTACACTGATTAGGTATTGATTTGGTATGTCTTTAAACTTAAAATAACGTTGTTTACTATTTGAGAAATAAATTGATGATTCTGTCTCGGTTCTTTATTGGCACGAACAACAATTGGTTTTTGAAGAAAAATGTTTGATTGACAATCAAACCGAAAACTGTGTTTCTAACTATAGTAGGGAATTGAACCGAATCCCACTTGAGTTTTAAATGCACCTAAAGGTTTTTGAAAATCGATTATTCATAACTATGTGACACGGGTTTATTAAAAATAAAATTTTAATATCAATATATAAATATGAAATATTTTATAATGTAATACTTTACATAACATAATGTAATTTTCTGAAAATTTGCAAAAGAAACTAAATCGTTTGAAGTATTTATGAGAATTTATTACCAAATTAATAGGATAATTTTATTTCCTTATAGAACCATTACAATTTTATGGAATTTTATTTTAAGAAAATTGAAATCCCTAAAAAATGACAAGTAGAAAATAAAATTTTTAAAATTCTCACAAAATGACAAGTGTCAAAATGAAGGAGAAGATGACATGTGTCAAAAAAACCTTCATTTATTAAAGAGGATTAGTTAAAAGTATTTTGGTAGCAATGATCCGTGTATTTTTTTGGTAAAAGAACAAGCATCAAATAAAAATATGTTTGTTAATTGTGAGTTGAGTATTTGGAGCATTCGCATGGAGCATTTGAATTCAGTGAAACAATTGGAACTCAATAGAGTATTTGGATTTCATGAAGCATGTGGCAATGGAATGGATCATGTAACAATGAATGGAGCACCTGAGAATGTTGTGGAGCACCTGAGAAAGGAATGGAGCATCCGAGAAAGGTATGAAGCACTTGAGAAGGGAATGGAGCATCCCTGACGGCGGCGAAAACGTCGGGCTGTGCGACGTTAGAACGTTGGATCACAGATATTGAACATATATTGAATAGTACAAAAGAATATATAACATAAATATCACTTCCATTATGGATAAAAAAATAGTACATTAGAATATGTTTTTGAAATACTATAATTTCTAATATAAAAGGTGTCTTGACATCCAGGCATAACAATAAATGATAATTGACTTCTGGTAGCTCCATCGATCAACCGCTGCTTCCGGAAGTGCAATCTTCCATCTCTTGGTTACCTAGGAATACATGTGGTTTTGGAAAGGTCAACGTAATGTTGATGAGTTTACAGGTTTATTATTATAGTTTGAAAATATATTTTTTTTACATAACTACTTTTTTTAGTTATAAAAGTATTTTGGCGGGTTTAGGGTAATATCTTACTATTTATAACTCCTATTGATATCTTACTTTATTTAATGTCCATTGTATACTACCATTATCCCTCTCTCAACCCCTGGTAAAATATTTGAAAATCATAAAAGTGGCGTTGTGAACTCACCTTTGAACCCTTGAAGCGCGTTTTACGAATTAACGAGACAACGCGTCGGGAGTGTTGGGAACTTGGGACCAATTTGTGCTCGAGGAAAGGAAATAATAAAAATATTTAAAAAATAATTTCTAAAAGAAATAAAAGCAAAGGGGAAATCAGTTGAAACTGATTTGTGAAATAAATGTGCGGGAATAAGGGAGCTTGGGTTGCTTTTATAAACGAAAATAGGGGAGGCGCATCGCGCCCTTTAATGTTGCCCCAGTTATTTTTAGCCCATATTTTTTATAATCTTAAATGATTTTTCAAAAATCATATCTCTCTCGTACGGACTCTGTTTTTGGCATTCTTTGTCTCAAAACTTTTATCTCGAGGAGTACTATGATTCTCCTTTTGGTAACTTTAGCTAAATGTCAATCGTTTGCTTCGTAACTTTTTACGTTGTAACTTTTTATGCGCTGTAGATTTTTATATTTTATAAAATTCGTATTTAATTCATACGGAGTCATATTTTTTAAGATATTTATATTTCCGAGATCGGAAGGCGTGTACTTTCGGAATATGTTATTATTTCTTCAAAATAATATAACTTTCCGCACACTTATTTTTCTAGATTACTGACAGTTTGACTGATTTTTCTTATGTATCTTAATACGAAATCTTGTATTTTTATCTTAGATTGATAAATATTACATATTAACTCTATTATACTTGACGTTTGTCACTTTTAGTTATTAACGATCGGTGACAACTTGCAGAATTGTCACAAGCCATGAAGCAAGGACACACCATTTTGGAGAGAAAGTGTGCCATTAGTGAAGTAGGATGCACCATGTTGAAGTGGATGCACCACTTTTGAAGGAGGATGTTCCACCTAGAAGCTAGATGCGCCATGTTGAAGGAAGATGAGCCACCTTGGGCACAAGGTGATCCATTCATGCACAAGGTGCACCACCTTGGTGCAAGGTATGCCACTCTAACATGCAATGGAGTACTCCGAAGTAATGATGTGTTGTTGATGTGTTGCTGAAGCATGGATGCACCAACTAATGATCATGATGCACCATTTGTGCATCATGATGCACCATTAGGTGGCTTGATATGTCACACATGTTCATACAGTGCCATATGTGTTCCTGATGAGTCATGGTATCCCTTGGTGAGCCACGTATACTATGAAGCCCTCTATGACGCTCAAGATTATTCAAGGTTGCTCAGATGTTGAAGATGCACAAGGATTATTGCTTGATGTGCTACAATGATAGTTGATGAGCCATGGTGATCTTGGTGTGCCACTTTACATCATGATGAGCCATTATGGATCATGATGCCCCATCATGTTTGTTGTTGGTGCTCATGCAATGTAAATCAATGATGAATGTTCTAGAAGCTATTGCATGGCGGATTCTCATCGGTTGACACCTTTCATGGGCCTATAGGCCAATAGGTGTGACCGATTAGGGTTTTAGGTCTGATCTAAAAGGGTATTATTTAGTAA